TAAACTGTAGCACTTATATGGCAGTCACAATAAATCAAGACATCAGGGAAAAACGTTTAAAGTGTTAAAAGTACTAGCCTTTTAGTATATATTACATCCAATATTGCAGTAAGGGGAGTTGTTCTACTCTTGTCTTACCTGGCTTGGTGTTTGCTTTTATCCATAGCAGTAGTTCTTCCTGGGGCAAATTGCTAAATTCTCCCACAATACTCCATTCTTTTTGAAGATTTGCTATTCCTTCAAATGCCATCATTGCCAAAATTGCAAGAACAAGTGTTCCAGGCTGGATTTTGTAAAAAACCCATGCAAACAGCTGTGCAAGAAAATAAACAGACACTCAAGGTTTTTATTTAATATCACTTTTTCAAAAGATGGGATAAATAAAACAGTATCAATAATGAAACGTGCTAAACTAAGTCAAAACAGCAAGGAGCAAAATGATAGTTTCAGGTCTACTTTTAAAAAAAGTACTACTTCTTTACACAATGCATGCCTGCCAATTTAAGCAGCTTTTAAAGGGGACTGGGCCAAATCACACAGAATAGGCCTAATTATGGTGATCAATTCTGATAGCTAAATACTCTGTTGAAAATCAAAGATAGCATGCCATAAATATCAGTTGCTAAGGGGCAACAATGGAAGGGAATCATCTTCTTCATGTTCTGTTTATGAGCTTCTTGATACATCTAGTTGTACAATACAGGTCACTTTCACATATAATTTTTGCACTGCTCCAAAATCAATTCCAGAGCTATGGTTCCTAGGCTTTCATCTGGGTTTGGCAACTTAGCCAAGTAATTTCTAGCTTAGTTAAGTGATCTCTTGATGAGTTAGCAGATCCTCATTCACATTAACTTAAAGGCACAACACTGATGGCTTTTTGTAAAGTGCTGAAAATCTGATACTTCCCCCAAGCATTGGGCCAGGCTGTTGAGTGAGCCTGTCTTGGTGTTCCTGGGATTATGTTGTTGAATTGCTCCAAGCACTTGTGTTTCTTTAAATTATCTTTTAAGTTGTTGTCTTTATTACTGATAATTTTTAACTGACTGTAAGCAGCTCAGAGTCATATGTTTAGTGGGCAGCCATATAAATTTAAATAAATACATTCACTGCTTAGACTTCTTTGTCCATGATTGGATAAATGTACATGCTTCATAGATGGTAATTTCTTTTATTTTGGATCAGGCAGGGAGAGAACTGTTGCTCTTTCTCTTGCTAATGGTGCCTATCTATAGTGTATCTTCCCCTCTCTTCTACTTCAGCCACTGAAGCAAATGCAATTGTGGTTTACTGGAAAAAATGCCTGGCTATAATACTGAAGCATGCTTTTACAATCTCAGCTAGCAATACACTTTTAAACAAAATACAGTAGAATGATAACTTGATGGCTTCACAACTATCCTTTTATAGTAACTGCTCAGATCTTTCTGCAAATGGCCAGACAAATGCAGAGAATGTGTTCTGAAAAGCTGGGTGTGGGGGTAGGGAATAGCAATTTTCTATTTTCATTCTGTGTGGAGAGTAGAGGAGGACTTTGAGGGTTGTTGTTTTTTGCTCCAGGACTTGCAACAGCTTAAAAGGCACTGATTAAATTGGGTTTTTTTGACCTCTCCTCTTGTTCCCTGGAGGTAGGGTACTGATTGGCCTATATTTCCTGTCTGTTCTTGCATTCTGAAAATCATAACCCAATTCAAAATGGTTTGGAAGGATTGAAGAGTGGAAATAGTACTGGGTGGAAGTGCCATGGAACAATGGACTAGATTGCACAGCTGTGTAACTTTGAAGGGATGATTCAATTAGATGGAGGTTTGTTGAATCACCTCTTCCAATCAAATCAAATCAAGTTGTTTTAAAATGCTGGAGATTTTTCGGTTTTTCTGGTGCTTTCTGATTTGCAGAATCTCAAAGTTTATTACAGTTTTCCTTTCTTATATGGAAAAGCAGAGGAAGGATTGCATGGTATGATGGGCTCTCTGATATTGACATATGTTTGGCTAATAAGTTTTATCATCTCCTTAATCTTTGGGGGAATGCAGGAGTGACACGTTATTTATACCTCACTCCTTTATTAGAATCTATTGAAACAGGAGGTAGGGAAAGAAAGTGGACTCAGATATATTCTGCTTTAAAAAACAACAACCTAGTTTCTTTTTTCCATATGATCCTCTACCTTTCTCAGATCTATATCTATCCTGCAGTATAATCCCTATTCATTTTTGTATTCAAACTGATCTATAGTTCTTCAACTTACAGTCACTGCAATCACTTCTTTTTATTCTCCCCATTCCCTTCAAAATGACTATTTTCTTTCTGTTGTTTGTTTCGTAATAAATGAGTTTTCTTTACTATGTGAGTGGGTCTAAGTTTTTTCTTGTTTGAGTGTTGCAAATACATAAAGGTAGTCCTCACTTAACAGCCACAATTGGGATCAGAAAATTGGTTGTTAAGTGGGGCAGTTGTTAAGTGAATCACCATGTTACCGGACCCAATTTTGCAAACATTTTTACAATGGTTTTTAAGTGAATCACCGTGGTTGTTAGGCAAATCACATGGTCGTTAAGTGAATCCAGCTTCCCCAATGGACTTTTTTTGTCGGAATTCACTTAACAGCCATCATAAAAAAGGCCACAAATCACAATCACGTGACCGTGGGGTGTGTGCAATGGTTTGCGATGGTTGTAAGCATGAATACAGGTTGTAAAGCACTTTTTCCAAGGCCATCATAACTTTGAACTATCGTTAAATGAATGGTTGTTAAGTGAGGACTACCTGTAGGAAGACTATGTATCATAATGTGTTATATATGAAACAGTGGTAATACACATACTATATGCCACACAAATAGAATAAGGCAGTAATGTGCAACTTCCACTGGTTTAAGGGCCACACCAGGCTTTGCATAAAATTAGAGTACACAAGCATAGAATTAGAGTACACAAGCGTTAGCACTTTTATCTCTTTATTAGAATCCCTGTAGGTGGGTTGAAAACAATTTTACCTGTCCCTTAAAATGGGAAAGAAATTTGTTCAGTTTTTAGTACCATGCACAATGTGAAAGAAATGGTACCGAAGTATGTACAGATACTATTCTGTCCATGCACTACATTTATATACAGCCATTCCTCATTTAGCGGCTACCTTGTTTAGCAACTGTGCGCAAATACAACACTAATAATAACTTTTAAAAAAATCATTTTCCAACCTATGTGCATGCTTTCAATCAAATTTGTGTGCCTAATAACAATACACACTGGAGTGAGAGTAACGCTGACATTGCTGCACGAGAACTTTCTCTAAATGAGATGGCAGCAACCAGTGGTCTTTGCAGTCTCTCTCTCTCTCTCTCTCTGTCACATGATTTGCTTAGTAACCATTTCACTTCTGATTTAGGGAATGAATTGCAGTCACTAAATGAGGAGAGGATGTACTGTAATTACAAAGGCAATTGAAACTTTAAAATTTTGCATATTAACATGCTTTATTACTTACTTGATAAAATATGTTATTCACTACACTGGTAATAGTATGACAAGGAAACAATAATTTACCTGTTTTGAGCATATCAGGGATGCCATAATGCACATATGTGGTGTCAGAAACAGCTTTAGTCTCATAATTAAAACAGCAAGTATTGTAAAAAAAATTAGCTGCAATGCATGGTATACTATCTGCAAATAAAGGAGAGAATAAGAAAACACAATTGTTTTTAAATGGGGTGTACTGTATTTAAGCATTAAGAAAGACCTACCTTTTAATCTGAACCCTGTTCTCCTGGGCGTGCTGTAATTTTTAAAATGTAAACTTTTTTGTAGTTTGAAGTAGGGTTTTTTTTGTAAAAATTATACATTTTAGAAAAAAGCAGCAACAAGGACAGAAAAGTGTCAAGAATATTAAACCCTACAGAAACAATTAAATATACTGTTAAACCCATAAAATGCATCTAGGGTCATAAAAGCAGCTCTGCAAACAACTGGATTACCTAATACTTAATATTGTATGTTTTCTTACTTGCTTTAATTTGACATTAACTTTTTAAAAAACACATAGAATTCCATCTCTTATTTTAAATCAATATTTTTGGAAGAAAATACTGTGGGGAACAAACCTTAATAGCATAGTGGAAGAAAGTACATAGAATGAGATCCTTACCTCACCATGATCAAAACAATCATTTTGTCTGGAACAAAAGAAACAAACATAATCAATTTGCCTATGCAATTATAAACAAAGCCCTAAACTGCAAGTTATCTTAAATGTTTCAGTCAAGACATCTACTATCTCCAGGTGACATTCTATGCTTCAGGCTATAGTTTGCAGATTGCCATTTGGTGTCATAAAAATGAATCTGATCTGTAGGTCTTGCCTGTGAGATCCTCCCCTCTGTAGTACATTAGGCTGCAATGCTGAAATTTTTAGGCACCTTTTTTTTAAAATAACCTTTTTATGTTGGCCTTTCCCAGTCATTAATTCTCCCAACGTTTATCTTTCTAAGGATTGTTAAAACTTTACTCTAATTGTTTTTTTTATTAATTACACTAATTATCTGAGCTACTTCAGGTTTGTCAGTGAGAAGTTCAATAAAAACACTTTTAATATATAATAAAATTGTGGAATACATCTTTTTACAAAGCAACTATTTTGAGGTTATATAGTCCTTTAAGTGACTGAAATTATGACATCACTGTTCCTATATTTCTTTTTTAAGAAAGGTTAAAATGACTGCCATTTGCAGGAGCTCTATTAAAAGTACTCCATAAAATGTGTACTTTTTGTATGTTTCTGAAGTGAAGTTTTCACTTGCAGAAGCTGTATTCATTGTAATTATAATCACTTACATGTACAAGGCACAAGCATTTTTATCTTACTGTTAATAATGATCAGGAATGATCA